CTGGTCTGGTGATGGGAATGCGGGTCTGAGCTCCGCGAGGGCAGAGCGGAGATTCGTATCACCCAGCTGAGGACAAGGAGGAAGAAACCAGAGCTGATCCGCTTCCATCCCACTGGAGTGCTCCTGGGAGGGTAAGTATTTCATGTTCCCGTTGTTTTATTCCCTCGGTGGAATTTTATAGGAACGTGAAAGAACGCGGCAGAGTTAGCTGTGAGGTGGTGGGTACGCTGTGTGTCCCACAAAGGGGATCGCTGCCGGGGGCTCTGGTAGCAACGCCGCGTCTTTGGGCCTGAGCTGGAGCCACCTGCACGGCCGCGGTCCCGCGAATGTCCTCTCCGCTTGTCTTCCGTCGAAGACGGTGGCACGGTTTGGCCGTGTGAATGCTACACAGCGTGTGGCTGGAAGGGGGCAGTTCCTGGGTTTGGAGGTAACTGCGTGCAATCCAGAGAGAAATTATTAAGATTAATTTTTAAAGTAGGTTTCACTCGGTCCGCTGTTTCCCCTGAGAAGGTGTTCCAGAATTACATCCTACTGCTGGAAAGAAAGGTGATTCTCATTTCCAGCCTAACTATGCTAATGTTCCCCTTATCCACCAGCAGGTCGGGAAATGCATGACTGTCAGAACTGAGAGTCAGCGGGTTCTTTTTGCATCCTTTACATCATCTTCCTAAGAACTAAAAAAGTAAAACCGGCTTGAAATGAAAACAAACGCGGCTGAGCGCGAAATGTGGCTGATGGGGCTGGCCGCTGGAGTGGCGTTCTTTGTTTCGGTGGCTGCAGGAGTCATCAGTCACGCTGCGATGGCACGTCCTGTTACCGTTGGAGAGCGTTCAGGTCTTGCGTGCGTGTCTGTCACCGGGAGTTCAGGGTCCCTCGTGGTGCCAGGCGTGCCGGGAGCCGGCTCCTGTCGGCGTTCCAGCCTGGCTCTGGGCAGCCTCCTGGCAGCGGAGCTCCGGGTGGCTCAAGGCCCCGGCGCCTGGATCCTGTGGCTGTTTTCGAGCCCTGGGTGTCCCTTGCTCAGGGTGCTCGGCTCGCGTTGTTGTGCACGTGCAGGAACCGGACTCTCTCGGGATCCTTTGTGCTCCTTCCTGATCAGCTGCGGCGTGCAGTGAACGAGCGCTCCGGCCCTAACAGCTGTCTCGTTTTTATTCCTGTTCGTAGCCTAGGGCCTCGGAGGAGAGAGGATGGCTCAGGAGACAAACCAAACCCAGGTGCCCCTGTTGTGTACCACAGGCTGTGGATTTTACGGCAGCCCCCGGACCAACGGGATGTGCTCCGTTTGCTATAAGGAGTTTCTACAGAGACAGCAGAGCAGTGACCGGATAAGTCCCCCAGGTAGAGGATTTTGTCTGAGAAATCTATTTTAAATGCAAATTGTGTTTAAGCAGCCAGGACAGAGAAAGGGGCTGGTACTGGCCGCCAGCAGATTTACTCCCTCCTGGGAAACTCGTGTCTTTCCCTTTTCGTGTAGACTCGAGCCTCTAACTCAAAGACCCGAGCCTTTGAGCGCTGCTGTTCCCTGCAGGGGGGTCAGTTGGCTCCTTCCCAGTCCCAGCTGTTGGTGAAGCCCCATCCCAGTCAGCACCTTCCAGTAAACTGTAAAACTTCACTTGCGCTGACAGTGGCCCGAATTTCCAGCTGTTACCTGCTCCCTGAGTTACGTGCTGACTGCTGGGAACCACGACCGATCCCTCAAGTGGAATTTAATTTGGAAACAATTTGGCTTTTTAGGTTTGCATAATTTTCTCCTCCTCACAGGGCTGACAACCAAAAGCAATGCAATGAAAGGTTTGTTTCTTGCAGCTGAACAGAGCTGACATGCCACCGAGCTGGGAGGCAGTCAGGGGCACAGAAGGGGTGCTCGTTCCATCCTTAGCAGGATTTTCTTTTGCTGGGAGTTTGTACAGATGCCGCACTGTACTTTGCAATACCGGTGAGAAACGCCTTCTGGAGATCTTTCACAGTTTTGTTCCCGAGTGTAAAAGTGGCTTTCCTTGAATTACCCACCCAAAATATATATTGGGAGCACAGCTCTTCCTGACAAAGGGTTTTTCTAAAGACCCTGGCTTAGATCCTTGGCTGACACAAACCCACATGTTTCTACCGAAGCCAGTTCCTTGCAGCAGATGAGGAGCTGGTTCTTACGCTTTGGAGAAGTTGCAGAGTAACGTTGAGTTCAAGGTATGTTGGTAACTGCAGCACTGTCGTTTATCCTGGTGGGAGAATGTTTATGTTGATGCGGAGTTTGCTTTGCAATGTTGACGAAAAGAAGGGGAATCAAAGAATGATGGGTGACTGAAGTCAGATTTTACCAGATGTTAAAAAACCACACGGTAATGGAAGGCATTTGGCACGTAACTCCTGTGAAGAAACCCTTGTCCCTCAAAAGGGAGCTTGCAGATCACGAGGAGCTGAGCAGATCTCTGTGAAGGAGCCTGCAGTCCACAGGAAGATGAGCAGCTAATTTCAGAGAGGTGTTATAATCCTGATGCAAGGAGTCATCCCTGATGACATAGCTGCACTGGTCCTGGTGCAGTCCAGCCAGCCCTGAGGTGTGGTCCTCGCAGAGACCTATGCACAGATTTATGTTCCTGCTCATGGCAGGGGGGTTGGAACCAGGTGATCTTTAAGGTCCCTTCCAACCCAAACCATTCTATGGTTCCATGATTTGGAGGGGAGAGTGCAAGAACAGGGGATGTGGGAGTGATCCCAACCGCCCTCCCAGCTCCTGCTAGGGAGCAGGAGGTTAAAGCCTGCTGAAAGCGCTCATCCCGCTTTCTCCTTTCTGTCAAGCACCCAAGGTACCTGCTGACATTTTTAAGAGTTTACCAAGACTGTGATCTTGTCTCGTAGCGCCCAGTGGTCCCAACAGCAGCCCCATGGCTTCGGATTCGATTGCAGGGCAGCATGCAGAGGGAGACTCCACGCCTGAGGATGTGAAAGCCAGGTAGGGGCATGGAGGGAGATCTACAGCCATGTGAAAAACCAGCCCTGGGACACAAGGGAGAGGCTCTTGTCCTGCGTATGTTTGTTGTGACCCTGGTTTGTCTGGAACTTTGAGATGTCCCTGATGATAGCTGATGTGTGGAGTCAGGTATCAGAGGGTCAGCAGTAAATTAAAACCTGTAGTAAACTAAGTGGCATCTTGGTTCTCTCAGAGCCAGCACAGCTTGTCTGTCACCAGCTCCGTTAGACTGTTGGCTTTCAACTCGGTGAAAGCACCTGGTGATGATCCAGTCTAGAAGCTGTGAAAACAGGACTGGGACCTCGGTCACGTTTGAAAGGAAGGGAGATACTGCTGCATTGAGCTCTACCATTGCGTTGCAGTCCTGACTCATAGCTCTGTTTCCCTGTCCCTGGGCTGGTTTGGATGGGCTGTTGCCTTGGCTTTGTGATATAATTGAGTGGAAAAGGAAATTGAGATCATCACAGATTCATTCCATTTGTGTCTGTAAAGAACTCTGATCCCAAATCTCAAGGGGAGTTGGCCTGCTGTACTCCTGAGCTACCTCCGAGTATAATGAAATTAACTTCATGGGCTGAAGATCTCTCCCACATAACTGTTCATCAAAAGGAAATACTTGTGTTTTCTCCATGGTTGGTTTGTTTGTTTGTTTGTTGCAAATGCTCCCAGTGCTCAGACTCCCGTGACCCATCAGATGACGGCCATGAGCATATCCAGAGAAGAAAACAGCGGTGAGACAGAAGAACTCATCAAGACAGAAGAAGCCTCATCAGCATCTTCCTCATCAGGTAGATGGTTTGGCCTTTGCACGAGTCTGAATGACGCTGATCTCGCAAGTCGGTGTGAGCAGCAAGTACAATACTGGCCAGTAACTCCAGGGGACGGTTGTTACCTCCCGGCAGGAAAGGTACACCTAGCAAGAGAGCTAAGGAGAAAACAGTTTGTTTCTGAAACAGGGAGGAGAGAGAATGCTGTGCCTCAGGGCAGGCCGACAGAGATTGTTCTGTGGGCTGAGGGCTGAGTAGCTGCCAGCCCTCGACTCGCTGGCAGGAGGATAATCTTCCATGACGCCTATCCTAGTGAATGGCAGAAAGCCCGGAGCGTCCCACAGCCTGCTGCACGGCTGTTGTTGGCGGCAGTTCGTGATGGGAGGCATACCCGCCCCTCGGAGGGGAGCGTGAACGCTGTCGCTTGGTTTGCAAAGTGGAGGTGACAGAGGAGCACGGTTGTCGTTGCCCAGCGGGGTACGTCCTCCAGGTGATGAGTTACAGGGTGAGCTGTTGTGTTGCAGCCAAGCCGTAACCAAGTGACGCTGCGTTGGAGATACCCTCCTTTCTTTCAACTGACAGGCTGCTTGCATTCAAAGCTAAAAAAACCCCAAGAGCTGCTGGTTGCTAAAGAACCAGGCCTTAGTCGCTGCGCGTGAGTGTGCATTTTGGATTTGGCAATCCCTGGCCGGCAAGCCCAGGAGACAATTTACAACAGGCAGGTGAGAGACCATTTGGTGGAAGAGAGCCTTGGAAGAGCCTGCCTCTTGCTTCTGATTGTGGGGTTTTCAGAAGGTTGTTTAGGGTCAGATCCACAAAGCTATCTCTGCCTCTGACTGTTTGTCTCCTTAACCTGGTTTTCAGAGTGGTGTGCGCTGCAGGTGTGTAGCTGCTAGCAGTTGGAGCTCCTCCCTCCTGTTGGCTTCTCTAACCTGCTTAGGTACCGTAGGAAATCCTGCTAAGCACCAGTGACCTTTAACAATCTGGCTTTCAGAGCTCAGTTTTCCTTTTGGTAGATTAGAGACAGTGATGAGTATCTGTGTAAAGCATTCTGAGACCTACATACAAGGAACACTTACATAAGAGTCAGCGAAAATAATTAGTAGTACTTACAAGGGGTTAACTTTTATTTTTTCTCCCTGCAAAGATTAACTCCAGGCTCAGCTGTGCAGTTGAGTTACTGTACATCAGCTAAGCTGCAGTGACTATCCGGATGACGGTTAACCTATGGCAAGCACCAGGTAGTTCTGCTCGGTGTTACCTCGTCTCAGGAGGAGCTGAACGGCATCACGTTACCGTACGTGTGCCTTAGCTAAACTGTAATATTTCCTTGGTGTTTCTGAGCCTTGGATTTAAGGAATTTGAAACAGAGAAGACATGATGCTGCGGGAGATGTAGATCTCTGTGGAACAAGGCAAATCTCCCAGTCTGGGGTATGTCAGCCAGGACAACGTGCACACAGAGGTGTCTGGCACAGACCTAGCATCAGTAGGGCCTCAAGCGGCTTCTCTAATAAAATGAATGTGTGGCTTGGTTTATCAAGAAGGGTAGCAAAACTCTTGCCTCTGCTTCAGGTACCGTGCTTGAAATATCCCAGAACACAGCTGAGAGCAAGACAGCTTCAGAAAAGCCGAAACAGAAGAAGAATCGCTGCTTCACTTGCCGGAAGAAGATAGGGCTAACTGGTAAGACCCTGGCTGTGGGGGAAACTTGCCTGTGGCCTAGCTAGTCTGGTTTCATGGCCCTGCGAACAGATGTCCTGGGTGCAGAGGGTCAGCGTGGGTCAGTGGTTGGAGGTACCCCTCCAAGAAGTGCTTTACATCCGTGAGATGTGGTGCTGCAGGGGAGGTGGGAGGGGAGCTCCGCCCTGTGAACAGCGCTGTCCAAGGCGGCAGCCTGGGGAATCTGCCGCTCGCTGTCGGGCTCCCTGCCAGCGCTTGGATTCTGGAACTGGATGGAGCACTGCCTCTTGGGTTATTTCTGCCACTTGGCAAAAGCTGCTTGTAGAAGCAAGGGCAGTGCTTGCTGTGGATCTAATTCTGCTCCTGTTCAGGTCAGCGGTAAAGCTTCCATCATAGTGACATGAACGGAGTTGGACCCAAACTGAAACTCCCACTCCAAGACTCATCCCGTTTGTGAATGCTACTTGACTTCTGCTGTTTGCTTCCCGAGAGCAGGATGGCTCTTGGTGTTCAGCCTGTAAAGCTGAAGAGAGAGAGGTGCTGAGATAGTGTCAGGTGACTGGTATTGATGGGAAAACTGGCCCTGGAAAGGCAATTCACGAAGCAGTTAACTTGGCTGTGGTTTGTTAAGAAAAACATCGTTCCCCTGAATTGACTCTGCCATTTAGTTGTTTCCCTGGAAAAAGTTAAACTCTAGAGCCGTGCAGGTCTCGCTATTCTAGTGGAGCGCTCGCCTCTTGAGCCTCCTCAGTGCGTTCAGCAGCCGGGACTGCACACACACTTCTGTTTTTATCGACGCAAGCTGCTTTGGCCGAGTCTGGCCTGGGAGGTTTGCCCAGCGCCTGGCACTGTGGAGCCCGAGCTTGCCTGGATATTTGAGGGCCCTGTCATAGGATAAATGTGGGTTTATAGGCCTGGGGCTGCGCGGGGTACTCTGTGCATAGCCTGCAGACCTGCAGGGAGGGTTGTTTTCCTGGATGAGTGTTTCCCTGAGAGCTTCAAACTGTGAGAAGTTGCCTCTCCTGTAGGAATCAACTTGCAGAGAACTCCTGTGAATTCAGGGCATTTAGGATAAAATGAGTTTTCTCAAACAGGAGTAAACTGGCACCTCGTAGCAAGGTGTTTGTGGTCTTTACAGCCTGTAGTTGGAAAGATGTGAAAGGCAAGAGCGTGAGTCACTGTCAGTGGGACGCTGTTCTGCAGCAAACCCCCTCCCTGCTCCGTGCCTCAGTTTCCCAGTGTGCTGTGATAACGGTGGCACTTCTGAACAGCATTATCTCCAACGGAAGTGACTAAATTATCAATTGTGAAGCCTAAATAGTTTGAAAATGATCCTAACGAGGTGAAGGTTTTGCTGCTTGCTGGCTTACTGCTGGTCAGTCCAGGTGCTGCTGCGTGATGCCTGGGGAGCCATGCTGGCTCGGAGCGCTGGGCTCTAGCTCAGGCTGCCTGCTCGCTGCCTGGGGAGCCTGGTCTGGATTAGCAATCTGGCACTCTGCGGTCCCTAGCATGTCCCTTGTCCCCGGGGAACGCGGAGAGCAGCTGCTCTGGGAGCGTTTCCCACTGCTGTGACAGCTGGGGCCGGCCAGAGCGCGCGTGCACTCATGGGAGCAGCTAAGCCAGAGGAAAGCCAAGAGCCAGCCGCGGTCTTCCCCCACACTAAGACTCCCTTTTGCCTGTCGGGGACAGTGGTCCCCTCCTTCATCCGACCCTCCTTCTGCATTCGTGGAGCTTCCTGGCCCAGCAGGAAATCCGACATGCACGCCTGCCCCTACGACTACAAGGCAGAAGCTGCCGAGAAGATCCGCAAGGAGAACCCCATCGTTGTTGCTGAGAAGATCCAGAAGTTGTGAAGGGGGCTGAGCAGCTCGAACTGCAACCAGGTGGCCTGGTGCTCCTCCCCTTCCTCCCAGCCTTCCTCCTCTTCCTCCCAGCCCCATCGGTGATGCGATGGTGATCTCCAGCAGCACACACGAACCAGCACCCGGACGTGGGGACTCCTCGCACCTCTTTGGCAGACAGTTGATGTTCCTTCTCTCCCTTCCTGCCTGTCCGACAGCCACAGCTCAGCTGCTCCATCCTCAGCCAGCTTCCCAAGGGAGCAGGGACCGTCCTGCCCCACCACCCCCATGCTGAGACCTTTGGACTTTTTTTACGCCGGGGCGGATCGCGCGGCGCGGGCAGCAGGGCTCGGCCGGGCAGCCCTTCCCTTCAGGCGGCAGCTCCGAGTCCTGTGAACCGCCCGGGACTTGCAACTGGAGCCTGTGAGCTGCCACTGGACTTTGTTCCCTCTGCCCTTCCGTCTCTTTGTGGTGGGCGTAAAACCAGGAGCTGGGGAATCCCAGCAGCAAGGTTGCCCTCTGCTCCCCGAGAGGTGTTCGGTCTCGGATGCAGAAAAGAGGATTCTGTAGTTTTAACGCCCCAAATACCCCTCCCGTCCCTTTGAGACGCTGTTGTTGACGCACCGCGATAGTTACGCAGCAGAGCACTGGCACAGTAAAGTTATTTTGTGGCTTGTAGCGACGTAGACGTGCTCCGGCCGCAGGTCAGGACCTTTAGGACAGCACCGCTCGCTGCCACGGGCGGGGAGCCGGCCTGCCGGGCTTGTGGCATCCAGGACGTGGCTGGGCTGTGGGGCTCCCGTGCTTCACCGTCCCCCAAGTAACTGCCGGCCGCTTCCTGAGCGAGGTTTGTGGTAACACAGCAGCGCTTGCGCCTCTCCTCTGCTCCTTGCCTTCTGCCTTACACGGTTCTTTCTCATCAGGGTTGCGCATGGAGCTCAGATCTCCAAATCTCCGCTTCCATTCCTGTCCCTGCACGCAGACAGGCAGCGGGGATCCTTCCCATGTGGGCCTGGCTGCTGCTCGGTGAGAGCCTTGCTCCCCTCTGAGCACGTTGGCTCGGGCAGCCCGCCCAACCGCCCTGCTCTCCCACCTCGCTGCGTCCCCAGGAGACACTCCAAAAGCCGGACAGAGGGGTCTGGGACACAGGGAAAGGCACGTGGAGGGCTGCAGGGCATGTGGGATGTCACGAGGAGGGTCCTGGGGTGCCCAGGATCGCAGGCGGTGGCTTTCGGAAAAGTCCAGGGAGAGCTCTGGGCCCACGCTAAGACTCTTAGAGGTCTTGGGGGTGCTGGAAGACTCGAGGAGGGCTCCAGGGTGCAAGGAAAGACAAAAGGAGAGCTTTGGGGTACACTGAAGGCATGCAGAGGACTTGAGCACCCTAAAAGGCACCCAGAGGGCTTTGAGACACCCACCCACCCATGGAGGGCTCTGGGGTGCAGGGAAAGCCAAGTTCTGGGCTCGGCAGCACTCCAGAAAAAAACGTGGAGGGCTCGGGTACGCAGCGCGAGGCAGGCGGCGGCTTCTGGGGTGCACCGCAAGCCGAAGCCGTCTCCCCACCACGCAGGGTCTGCGCCCACCCCCGGGGGGCGCCGC